TTGGAGCCTATTTTTCTACTATAAAATGAGGTGTTTGGGTCTGTTTTACACATAACATTACTTCACAACTCCTACTCTTTCATTGCAAATCATTCTTTAATTATTCATAGCTTTTGAGAGCCATTTTTGTGAAGCTTGTGTTGTGTTCTTGAGCGTTCTTAGTTTACTCATATCCACTCTTAAGGAGAGTCTTGTTCTTGAGTGTTTTAGTGTTGTATACACGTTAAGGGAAGCTTGTTTCCCTTGGTTGTACGAAGGAAAGGTATTCTCCTTCGGGTTGAATTCTTGGAGTGCGGTATCTCCGAGCAAGTGTTGTTGAGGCTCGTGGGACTCGAGTTCTCAGGTTGTAACGGTTTGTTAAGAACCCGTAAGCTTAACGGAAGTAGTGTAGCTCGAGAGAGTCTCTCGGGAGACTGGATTAGCCACACGTTGTGGTGAACCAGTATAAATCTTGGTGTGCTCCCTTTACGCGTTCTACGCTCTTTACGTTTCACGTTCTTAATTTTTTATTCCTGCGATTTCTACGATCAAACGCTATTCACCCCCCCCTCTAGCGTTGGTCACTTATTCTAACACTTCGTACAACCAAGGGAAACAAGCTTCCCTTAACGTGTATACAACACTAAACACTCAAGAACAAGACTCTCTTTAAGAGTATATGATGAGTAAACTAAGTACGCTCAAGAACAACTCAAACTTCACATAAATTGGCTCTAGAAAGCTTTGGAAAATGATGTTGTTTGAATGCAATGATAATATGAATAATGTGAAGTGAATTGCTGAGAAAAGCAAACCCAAACACCCCTTTTTATAGTGCCAAAATAGGCTCCAACGGACCAATACATTAAAGGGGTGATTGGCTTGATTTATGGGATTGAATAAATTTGGGATTTGCAGGATATTGGCTTCCCATCGATGTTTAGACTCACCCATCGCTGGTAAGCCAATTTTCCTTCAGTTTTGAAGCCAACGGTCACCTACCCATCGATGGGTAAATGCTTCCCATCGCTGGGTGGGAGGTTGACTTTCAAACAAGGAAAAAATCAGCCTTAAATGACTTGCAACGGTCATGCCTAACCAGCCATGGGTAGCCCTACCATCGCTGGGTTCCCATCGATGGGTAAAGGTTCCCATCGCTGGGTAAGGGCATTCTGCTTTGTGAAAATGTTGGACCAAGGCTTAAGAGTTGATGGGTAGAACTTCCCATCGCTGTTTGGCATGGTTCTGGAAATCAGTTGGGCTGAAGGCTGCTTACCCATCGCTGGGTAGAATGATTCTGGAATCCCGGGATCACTTAGGGGCTGTTTGTTTCAGCCTCTTAATGGTTCAGATGTCTAAATTGTTCAGCACTTAATGGTTCAGACTGTTTGTTTCAGCCTCTTAATGGTTCAGATGTCTGAATGGTTAAGAGATTTGCCTCTGAATGATTAAGTATTATACAGAGTCTGAATGGTTAAGACCTCTTATCTGAATTGATCAGACATTTGCCTCTGAATAGTTAAGCAATATACTAGCTCTTAATGGTTCAGACCTCTTACTGGTTCAGCACTTAATGGTTCAGACCTCTTACTGGTTCAGAACTTACCGATTCAGAAGTTGCCAAACAGCCCCTTACCCATGGATGGGTGATATCTACCAACGCTGGGTAGATGGCTAGCCCAGAACCATGGCCTAGCTGACCGGCGCTGAAACCCGACCGAAAAATGCAACGTTCTCCAAAGTAAAAACTAAGTATTTAAAACACTTATTTAATGTATTGTAATGTCAAAACAAGCTTTGTAAGTTTAAAACCACGTCGTTAAGGTAAAATCCATGGTTGACCAAGTCAACACCGTACACGGGTGGTTTTTACCAAAAGACAAAACTGAAAGGTGGTTTTCATGATGTTTTGATTGGAGAACCATTTAAATGCATTCAAAAACAATTCCCTCACAAAAAGACTCGAAAACCACTTCATTTAAGTAAAAACCACGGCTAGCCAAGTTTATGCCGTTTTACGTGGGTTTTCCCAAACGACCAAAAACGAAAGGTGGTTTTCAGGGTGTTTTTGTTGGAAAACTGTTTAAACATGCCAAAGAGTGAAAACCAATCATAAAACGTTGAAAACTACTTGGTTGGTTTGGACGCCAAAAACCAATGCCGATAACCGAAAGCCGAACGCCGGTTTCTAAAAGCCGAACGCTGAATGGCTTGGTTTTTGGTTTGGGCGAACACCAAGTGTTTTTAATGACTTAAACAAGTTTGAAAGGCATTTTTATGATGTAAGAAATGCAATGAGATATTTTAGCCTAAAGAGCCAGTGCGTGAGGGTTGGGTCGGTCTTGATCACAATTATGACCGACTCAACAATACTAAAGACTGCGGTCTTCGTTCTTGGTCTCTTTTAGCTCTTGTTCTTTATCTTCATTCTTCGCCTTGTATATTCAATGTTTGTCTTGATCACGACGGTTTGGCATTATCAAAACCTGTCATAAAAACAAACACGGCTTTAGTACGAAAACACGATAAACCCGTGTGTCAACACCATAGGCAAATCTTCCTCCCCCTTCTTTTCTTGAATGAGCGTAGGTGGTTCTAAGTCAGGTCCCTCGGGTTGTTCCACCTCATGTACGACTATGTTGGCTGGGACTTGGCTAGGAAGGGATTTAGGTAACATCACCACAGTAGCCCTAGCGAGAGTTGTTATGCTCTCGGGTTTCTGTGATGGTGTAGGACTAGGTGAATCTTCTAGAACTGGAACCTGATGGTTGAATGATTCAGGGTTGGTCTTAGGTTCTAGAGCCTCTTTTTGAACATTAATCTCCCTAATTTGATCTTGAGATTGGAGGGAGCGTTTAAGTTCAACAGCCTTGCAGAGATCATTGACTAATTTATCAGCTTTAGCCTCAACTTCTAGTCTCTCTCTTTAGAAGTCATCTAGCATTTTCTGCATCAATTCTGATCCTTCGCATAATTTCCTTTCGAACTCCTTTTCCTTCCGGACTGATTCAAGAAGTTTTGCTCTTTCTCGAATTGCCACCTTGTTTGCTTTAATTTGTTCTTCAGCAAACAAGGTGTAGTCACGGGAGTAAGGTGGTTCGTACCAGGAGCCTTCAGCAAATAAAACTTCGTCGAAATAGAAGATCTTCCGCTCTAATCTTATGATTTCTTTGACGAGTGGATCATATTGATTGTCGTGCATTGGCCCATATTGGTCATAGTCATCGTTATCTCCATAAGGTTCATAATAGTTATCCCCATCAGAATCTTGGTATGGAGAATATCCAAAGTTCCTAGACGGGGTTTCATATGGTGTTTCCTCATGGTAGGGATAGTAGTCTGACCCATTGTTGACTTGGAAGTCATCATCATATGGGTTCTGATGTGGGTGGTAAGATGAATGGATTTGGTACGGGGGGCGGTTGGGTGATTGGTAGTAAGAAGGCGGGCCGTAATAAGTACTGGAGTTATCCATAATAATTATTATGGGTGGTTGGTGAAAAAGAAGTGAGAAGATCGTTCTAGCCAATCTTCACCCAAGCTAATTAGAAGAAATTAAACTAATGCCCTTGCCACTCCCCGGCAACGGCGCCATTTGACAATCGTAGTTTTTCGAGTAGTAAACCTTCCCAGTAAAGGGTTAGTTTTCTCTCCAAGTGTCGTATCTCTCGAGGAGTGGACGAAGGGAATTAGTTTAATTTCTCTAACTAGGCGAAGGTTAGGACTGATTTATGAAAGTCTTCTCGGAACGAATAAAAATGGAGCAGAGTAAAAATAAAAGTCTACATAGTATAAGTGTAGATCTGGACCTAGGGTGAGAACATCATCTGGATCTATTTTATCATATTAAATTAACAATTGGAATAATAATATTTCTATTACTACTCATCCATTTCTAGATTTGTACTTAATCCGTTGCTCTTGGATATCATAGCCTTTTGGCATACAACATTTTCTCAATAGTTAGCTAATTAAATCTTTCGAGATTAATTAACTAAATAAGGCAAGAACAATAGATTAACCATTCCAACATTAATTTAACATTCAAAATATACAACCAAACTAGTCCGGACCCAAAGATCCGGACCCTAACTCATTCTATGAAAACGTAAATTAAAACGACATTTTATTAAATAAGAAAATTTACGGCTTCCGTACAAGCGGAACAGAACAGATCGGGAGTCAAATCCTCCGGATATACTCTAAAACTACTACTAAAACTAATATATAAAGTATTTTAAGCAATTGAGAGAGTGGAACCCCAAATTGGGTTGAGAATGGTGTGGAATGAGTGAGGATCGCGTGGTATTTATAAGGCAGAAAGTACGGGCGTCCAACCCCTTGGGCGTCCAACTTTGGACGCCCGTCCCCTGACCACGTGTTCCGTCCAGTTGCTGGTTGCCGCGTGTCATTCCCGTGTCAGCTGTGGTTTCTTGGGCATCCAACTACCCCAGGCGTCCAACTTTGGATTCCCAAGATCCGAATCTTGTGCCCAATTCGCGAATATTCGAGATCTTGGCCCATTTTTGCTCCGGTTTGGTCCGTTTGACTCCCGAACACTGATTTCTACCTCTGAAGTATCATGATCTTTAAAATCTGAAAATTTTCATCCAATTTGAACAAAAAATTGACAAACCCACTTAATTTAATTTGGAACCCGTATTTTATTCTTCTTGAGACAAAACATAAGTTTTGTCACTAATAGACACTTTTAATGGGTAAATTTATTACTATTTCCGTGCAATAACGCTTAAAATATTGTTATACCCGGGCTTGGCCGTATCTTACCCTCCCCCATGTCCCACACCCTCGCAAAAACCAAAGGACTTACGTTCAAACATTATGATCCATTTTAATGAGAATTCCAAGACCTTCAACCCGAGAGGCCAAATAACTTCGGACCTGCCAACCAACTCCCACTCTGCCAAACCCCACCCTAAACATCCAAAAATCCTTTCCATTTAATTCCTTTCAAAATAAAGTTTTCCTACACTTATTTTAGCCCATGGCCGAAAATAAGGGTGTGTAAAATAAAACCTTTTGTTTGTTGTTATTTTCCTTCTTTTAAGCCTTTTATTCAACAAATAAAACCTGCTCAAATGGAGAGGAGGATAGACATCATCTTTTCTGCAATTGCCCATACACTAGAGAGTTATATAAGAAGATCTATAATTGGAGCCATCAGCTATTTGAGGGGCAAATCTTCGAAGAAATTTGTGACCAAATCTAGAAGCTAAGATAACACCAACTAAAAGAAGGATGAAGCAAATAGCAGTGTTTGAGCTTGTGTGTATTACCTGTGGAAGGTTAGGAATCTGGTCTTTCATGAGAATTCCTTAACCCCAACTGAAGAAGCTTTCAACTGGATCAGATACCATGTTAGCACCTTCATGAATGCTAAAATATCTAGTCCTTATGTAAACTCATAGCTGCTTGATTGAGTTATTATTAGTCTAAGTGTTAAGAGGCAGGTTCTGAAGCTTTGTATTTTGTTTTCCCGTGCTGCTATGCACTTATGTCTTGGATGATCAATAAATTTATTTGCATTTCGTTCAAAAAAAAAATATATTTAAGGATCATTTTTAAAGTAAATAATTTTATAATAATGATTTAACAAAAAATAACAGGGGCTCATGTTAGCGGAACGCCCCCGAATATTATAGCAATATTTAATTTAACTATTACCTAATAAAATTTGCAGTTATCTTGGGGACCTGTGCTGAAAGATTTTTCAAGGATTGACGAAAACGGCTGGGAAAAAGCAAACAGGTCCATTTCTCAAACCCCCTTGTTGACTTTTTAGAGGTTTAATTTTACCCATAAATTCCTAAATAGGTCTAAATAACACGTACATTTAGCATATACTCCGTATTACCAAAAAAATATTCTAAAATACTTCGGAGTAATATATGACATCAAATTCTGTACTGAAGAATTGTAATTTTCCTTGATTAATTATGTGAGGAGTACATGTATATATATACAACATCTCAATCCTAGTTATGGTAGGAGAGGTATTCTAGGAAAGCTATACAAGTATGGAAACAAATCATAATACAATAATATTAAATATATTTAATATATTTAACATGCTCCCGGCTACGTCGGATGTGCTGGGAGTCGGATACCCAGGCTTTCTCTGAAGTCCAGAAATAAAAGAGAGGGCAGTCCTTTTGTGAAGATGTCGGTGAACTGAGAGGATGAAGGAACATGAAGGACTTTGATCTGCCCAAGCGCCACTTTATCGCGTACAAAGTGTATATCAACCTCGACGTGCTTGGTGCGTTGATGTTGCACCGGATTTGATGATAGGTAGACAGCACTAACGTTGTCACAGAAGACGAGTGAGGCGCGACGAAGTGGGTGTTGCAGCTCAAGAAGTAGATTCCGGATCCAGCA